AAATATTTATACATATAACATTTTGTATTGTTATTAAGCAAACAAAGCATCATTTACACATAATGTATATACAAGTGAAATGTATAATTCATAGTACATAGATTATAAAAGTTAATGTCTGTATTTTCTACTGATATGTTATAATAGTAAAATAAAAAAATGAAATTCTTTTTAATAAATTTAAGGCTATATAGATTCGCATACATAGAACAAATATTAATATGTATAATTATATGATAAATATTAACAGTATAGTCAACATAAAAAATACACAATCACATAAACTACGCATTCAATTAATGAAATATATTGTAACTAGGAACTTGTTACATTAATACATAAACTAAAATTTTAAAAAAAGAAAAAAAAATTAAAACTTGATTTTAGTATATGAGATGAGAAATTATATATTAAAATGTATTATCCTGTGAAAATATAATTATTAATTTAATTATTAGAAAAAAAATAGATGAATTTTATAATTCATTATCAATTGCTAAAATTTTGCAAAAACTTTATATGTATAAAAAAATATGTATTTTTAGAACAGTAAACATATATACACTTAATTAATCTGTTTTAAATTTAATGATATATTAAATAAAATTTAAATAATAAGAATTTATTAATTATAGCTTAAGTTACAAATAACTATAAAACATATCTGTAACTTAAGTTATATTTTAAAATAAAGAATGAAACATGCTTACTTTATAATATTGATTTTTCATTTAAATATAATTTATTAAAATCATAACTCAGATCCTGTTACATGTGCCTATTTTATAAATATGGTTATCTTGACTAATTTAGTAGAGTTTTTAAATAGTTAATGAGAGGATGTATCAATTTTTATTAGTAAAGTTTAAATACTTTTAAAGTATTTAGTAAATCTATCAGAGTAAATTTGAAATGTTCAAAGCATATTATCTTAAAGTGACGATCTTTATTATGTGGAAAGAGAACTGTGGGGAGGGGCCCCGCGTATGGCACCCCCTACGGTCGTGATGTCCGTGTGGGGTAGCTAAAAGGGACGATAAGGAAAAGGAAGGGATGCGCGCCCCCGTTTCGTCCCAGGCCTGCTAGTGGACTCATCACAGTAAGGCTACCCTAGCAGGTCCTGCCTTAGATTTAGATACTATTGGAAGGACGGGAAATTATATATATAGAATTTGGAGGCTTTTCCAAGGACTTGCGAGAAAGTCCTTGAAGTTGGAATCCATCTAGTGGCGAGAGCGTGAATGATGATTACTGTGGAACCAAATAAAATAAAATTTCTGCATTTCACATATGAAGTATTGAATAGTAGAATATTGCATTACATATATACTTACTATATTTTATAATAGTATAACGTTTTATAACTTAATTTTTGTAG